TGATGTTTTTGCTCGATAGTTTCGGATGCGATGCCAAATGCATCAAAGCAAACCATATGTGAGAATTTATGCAACTATATTCGGCTTTGCATTTCACCATCGCGAATATGCTAGGCTGTTAGATGGTAAATTACCTCAAATTTGCTCTAAGTGTGTCTGCCTTGTTATAATAAATTTTGTTTTTACATTCGGCTCACTTCTCAGTCATTCACCTTCGGCAAACAGTCAAGATAGCTATTATTGACGAATATCAATCAGTTAGATCAAGGTCAGCTCATAATTAATTGTGAAAGCTGATACTCCTAGGGCGTAACTCATTTAACGTCGTTCTCGCCAGTGCATGAACATAATTTCATACCTCTGGTTTATCCCACTCCTGTCCATGATCAGTAACTAATTCGCCTTTAAAGGTCGTCTCTTCAAGTTTTATTGGTTCACCTTCGACCGCTGAAACCAAATGAAACGATACTTTATGGATGCCAGCAACTCTATCAAAAAACCTTCCTAACAAATTCAGGTCCCTTATATTCAAAGTCATTTCAACTTTGAGTTTATCGCCAATTTTGGCCCAACAAAGTGGTAATAAAAGATTCATGTTCATCTTCCAACACACTTTTTTGGTTCTGCATGCTAAAGTAATGTTTTGTCAGGGAAGGATCAACAACAACTGCGAAATTAATCCACGTAACAACCAAATGAGCTCTCAAAATCTCCTACCGACAATTTTGAATATAAGTCTTCCAATTTCTGCTCCTTTTACGAATGGTTCACGAGGATCGTAACCGGATGGTGCGATGATATATTGTATCACTAAGTAATCATGACCGATTTTCCCAGGCTGCAACATTCAGTTGGGAAGTTGTTGGGCAATTGATTCAACGAAGGTGCAGAAATAACTCACAAAAACCATTCAAGAATGCATCGCAAGGAGCATCACGAATGGCGAACTCAAAATGATAATTTTTGTAAAGCAGTTGACTAAAGAATATGAAGTAGTATTTATAGAATTCAGCACCGTTCTTGTAAACGTTATTTCACGGGTTGCACCAGGTTTAATAAAACCCATAACTGGCCATACCTGAATGAAAAATAATTACGCAAAGGATTTGTTGATATTTTAGAATACTGCAATTTGCAATCATATTTCAATGAAATCGGGTAAACAATGGTCTGAAGCTCAGTGATATGAACGGCTAACGAATGCACGTGAACTCTTCCGAATTGAATGAATAAACTTCGTCAGCAATCTTCAGAGACTTCACCATGACTGCAACACCGCTTGTGATTTTCAACATCCATAATTATAAAACTCGTTGATTACTTACTTTATAAAAATTGTAGTATCTGGCCTTTAGCTTCACTTTGAAAACAACTCGTTGATCTCCAACGCACTTCAGACGATGTTTGAACCGACCGCCTTTTGTACTCACCTGAATCCCAGTGAAATATGCAAAAATGCGATCAGAAAGCCAACCCACTCCGAGCGAGATGAGTGTTATCGCATTTGATGAGAATGTCCGAAAGATGAACTTCTCTTTGATTTTTTAAATTCTCGCTCCTTCAATTAATGAGTAACAGTTAGCGGAAGAAACGTACCTGCATAACTGCAGGAGTTATGGTAAGGCTGGCGGGCATCACGTGTTAATAAAGTTACCGAGGTGAATCCACCGATTAACCTCGGAACAAGCAGCACAAGACGATGTGAGAGGGATAAATGAAGCAGATGCCAGCAACAATTGCTTTTATAGGCATTTTGATCTCGCAAATTTTCAAGCAGTTATTCAAATATTATTGTGGATTCAAATTATAACTGATCAGTTTAGCGTAAAGTTTAAACCTTTTCAAATCCTAAAGTTCATTTTGTATTTTTTTGCATTCAATAATTCAAAATCCGTGACAAATCACCTTTTAAAGGTTCCAGTATATAACAACGTCTCGGACGAATTGTCATCATGCAAAACAATTCTTTGTCGACAAATAAAGTGAAAGGTACCGATCAGCAATGTCACACGTTAGCACAGCATTTGGATTATCTTATCGAAAAAAATTTGAATGGAATATTCAGGAAAAGTTCAATAGATATTTTTTCAACTAAAATTTGTATTTTTTGAGCAACACGATCACTCACAATCAGTTCTAGGTTCATTCTATTCACTTGTTTAATCACTTGTGGTCGGCTCGCTTCTCGAGTAGAGTTTGCCATCATGCTAGCATCGAATACAGCACGGAAAGGTGACACAAATTTGGATTTTCTCTTTTCTTCCCTATTTCATACGATTGAGAGCAGAACCGGACAATAGTCCCTCTTGTTTTAGAATAGAATGCAAGCCAACTCATTCCGGTGACGGGATTTATGACAACAGTTCCCAATGATTACCATTCTACACAGCGCTGCATTCCTCCTGAATTGACTACCTCGCAGTCATTTTCTACATCGTCGGAATTTATTTTCATTGAGGAGGGTTATCGAAGATTTTTGCTGATATTATTAAACACAGTTTGGATTGTTCAGTGTATAACATTCATCGCTCTTACAGATACTCAAGGTTGTACATCGACATATTTAGCACCATCTCAGGGTGGAAGTGGCACCACGTCAACCTACCTTCTACCGCAGCAAACCAAT